ATCGACTGTACCGTAGCGATGGCGTTTGTGGTCTCTGAACACTATGGCCGGTCTCACCAGCTGTTCCTCAACGCCTCTACTTTGACTATCCCCAACTTCATGAAAGGAATTTGACGTCCGATAATCTCCGATACCGTGCAACTTCCCCCCTTCTTGACGGTCGATATTCTACCACCGCCGACAGTTTTTTTTTCTCCTGAGCCCTCCAAACCACAAAAACCACCATCAACTATATTTTCATGCCTTAAGCTCAGGAGTTTTTTTTCACTGCTGGTCGGATTTGTGTTTAATCGCTTCCCTTGACAATGCCTGTAAACTGGCATTAAATTAAAATTTATTTATTTATTTATTGTATCTACCAAGTCTAACATAGTAAGTCAATTTCCCAGACAGGATTTCCTAAGCAGTCAGTCTAGAATCCTCCAGATGACTTCCGGGCCGTTTTAAACCAAAGGCGGTTTGGTAACTTTGAATAACTCATTTGTCCCAACCGTGAGAAAATCGAAAGCATCAGTGAGATTCAATCCCACGGTAGCAAGGTCATGGTTTGAGTATAGCAAATGAACTAATCCGTTGAGCGCCTTACAATAAACCAATTCCATTATCCATCAGGGGACATATTTGGAAGCGCAGTGTAAAAATGCACACTGATAATGGCAATGGCTTTATTGGATGTCCGAGAGAGCGCTGCCAGTGCATACATGTAAACATTCACAATAGGAAAGCAGTGCTTAATATTGTTGTATTGAGCGTTCAGTTACTGGCATTCTTGAAGAGGCAAGCAATGAACTTATTTAAAGTAGGCAAGAGGGCAGTCAAAGCCAACTTATTTAAAAAATCACAAGCAAACGTGAAGATTTCCGAAATGAGTATGCCATCGATGAACCGCAAGCGTTACGTACGAACATCATCAGCTTCAGCAAGGACGGGAACAGGAGAGAAGGTTCATGGCTGCATATCGCCTCTCTTTGAATCTGCTCCACGGAGTCACCTTCTTTTTCCATGTTCACTAACCTCTTTTGCATCACATTGACTATAAACACAAACTCAACGCTGTGCAGCTTTTGTCTACTCCTTCAAAAATTCAGTCGATAATGTATTTTTATTTACCGTGAAAGTACGCTTGTAAGTTCAAAATAAAACAATTTACTTGGATAGATAATAGTTAATGAGTAAAAATTGATAGTTTTCAGAAATTATTTAATCATTTATAGTCTCATCCTTATGTCTTCGAAATCTTCGTAGCTATCGTCACGATAAATTTGAATTAAAGTCTTGTATTACATTTTTCACATAAAACCTCAGGCAGCCCTTCATCGAAATCCGAAGGAAACTAAACTTCAAGGTCCTCATTTAAAACCCATTGTCCATTTGAAAAAAATAGGTCCAAGAACACTCGATACTTGCAATAATTTTATGTCTGACCACTTGAGCTACGAGGCCCCGCCGGAAGACGCGAGTTTAATCACATTTAGGCGGGGCTTCGTAGCTTAAGTGGTTTGAGTGTTGGCTGGAACAAAGCCTTCCTCTTACTGCGTGGGTTCGAATCCCACCGAGGCGCCGAGATTTTCACAGTTTGGTCAATGTGACTTACATGTCTCGTTACGGATCAATTTTTTGTTCTTGTTGCCCTTCCCTAAGACAATTTGCCAGTATTTACGTCTCAGCAATATGAGAAGCTCATACCTCTCATCGATCGGTTGATAGTGAGACCAAAGACGGGCACAAATGG